AGTCTCACACTGCTAAATTAGGGACGGCTAGCGCAGATAGCCCTCGTGTAGCTTTGCGTAAAATTCAAAACAAACAAAAACAAACTGCTACATGGGTTTCTTTGTATTATTTGATAAAAAATAATACAAAAGTTAGTCCACTTACTGACTACAAAAACAATCTATTTTCTTCTAGTATTCAATTACAACTTATATCTTTAGCATAAACTAACGCTCATTGATAGACCCAAGATCACAGTAGACGCTAGCACAATAATGTCACTTACCTGTTAATTTTCTTACTCTCCAAAACGTACAGCGTATCTCATATTATTCCATCGAAGTAGAAATTCAGTATTCTCAAAACTGAACTAGCTGACTAACTGGCTTTCAGTAATAGACAAACTAACTAACAAACTCACTAACTTAATAATCAACCATTAACTGCGCTAACTCAATTGTCAGTCATTATCTGTAACAGGCTCATTCATCAGTCTTTTCCTTCTCTAGCATATCTCGCGTTTTATACTATTCAAACCGTTTCCTAAACGTTCACGAATATTCTTGTCACTAAGGGACGTACTCATCACATGACGAAAAAATAAAAACAACAGAAATGTAAAAGAAAACAAACAAAAAAAAACATATCCTAAAAACAACCTATTTAAGAATTAAAAGAAACCTAAACCGAGTTACACAAAACAAGCATGTAAGTTCTTAAAATAATATATGTATTACAGTATCCTGTTTTGTTTCTCTCACTGACATACTACCATTGGATACAGTAAAGCTTCTATTCTAATTTAAATTTCATCACATAGGTCTTAGTAAACGATAGATCTGAGATACTAATCCGCAATATGTTAATTCTATGTTTTATTTAGCTGGATAAATGATAGAGATAAACACATACGTAAAATTAAAACTATTCTGGTCCAGAAAACAGAACCAGAACTAATATCCAGGAAACACGAGTATATAATATGTAGAAGATACTACTTACTAGCCAACGAACCACCTGTGTTAAGTTTGGAGATCCTATTGGCAAACAGCCAGAAAACACACTTCCTAAGTTTGACGATACTACTGATAAATAAGCAGAAAGCAAACATGCTAAGTTTGATTATCCTACTTTCAAACAACCAAAACATATACATGGTAACTTTTCTTACCCTACTGACAACTATTCAGAAAATACACATGGTAAGTTTGGTGATCCTACTGAAAAATAGCCAGAAAACACTCGTTGTAAGTTTGGTGATCCTACTGACTATTCGCCAGAAAACACTCGTGGTAAGTTTGATGATCCTACTGACAAATAGTCAGAAAACACTCGTGGTACCTTTGGTGATCCTACTGAAAAATAGCCAGAAAACACTCGTTGTAAGTTTGGTGATCCTACTGACTATTCGCCAGAAAACACTCGTGGTAAGTTTAGTGATCCTACTGACAAATACCTTGGAAACACACGTGCTGACGTTGGAAATTCTACAAGCTAAACGTCAGGAAACACATCTGCTAAAGTTAGAGATCCTATTGGCTAACAATAAAAAGAAAACAAAAAAAACAAAAACATTAGCTAAATTTTCAGAGCCTATCTATTCCTCTTCTTTTCTAAAATTGATAAATACTTCTTTGATATAACCTTTAGTCTTTGACCCCAAAGGCACAACAAGGTCAAAGCTTATCCTTGCTTATGAAATATACGAGGTTAGCCTTTGACCCCAAATTATTCCATTGACATGATACGTATGATAAAACCCCTCTAAATTTTTATAGACACTTTTCAGTAAAACTTGCTCGATTTTTTCTGCAGCCAAAGTAACAGATTGAGAGTCTTCAACGACATACTTATTAACATGTAGCTTAGAAATAGCCTACATTTTACACTATGTGTGTTAATACCTCGAAAATCAGTTGTTTGATTTAATGGATCAAAGTCTGAATAGGGCAAACTTTGAAATGAGTTAGATATAAAATAAATGAAAATTAGATGTGTTTACTAAAAGTACTAATCCTACTCATACCTATACGTTTACAAATATACAACTTAAATTACAGAAAGTTGAAAAGAAATGGTTATTATTTATAGTAACTATATAGCTGTTTTACATAAATTATCAATATTATCATTTAAAAAGGTAGTGAATAAGTAAAAAACAAACCTCCACAATATCAGATAATTATTACAATACAGCTAGAAAACAAACACATATTAACTTTTTGTCAAATAGGCTTTACTGAGTCGTTCAGTCATTAAATTAAATACAAACATAGGAACATCAGGCAAAAAATTTAAATTATCACAGAACTCGAGAGATAATTAGAAAGAAAGAAAGAAAACAAAGCATCGTTTTTCAAAACAGGAAATTATTATTTCACATTTAATCGATTGCAAAGACTCCGCATAATAATAACATAGAAAAATTAATCAACTATGGAACGTACTGACACTGTAGAAACAAGAGCCTGCAATGGCAATGCCATATATATTATCACATAACTCAAAAGCTTGAATTTCAGCATTGTTTGAAGATAGTCTTTTGTCGAGGTTTGGAGTATTAAAACTGATGAGTAAGATTTTACTCATATTAATTTGAAATACATAAGTCTCTCATTGTTTCTAAACTCTAACTAATGGTGAAATACCGTAAGACCAAAGAAAAAAACAATCTGTTGATAATGAAGCCTTATCAGACCCCTACTTGGCATTTTGGCACATTCGTGTATACCACTACATTAACAAGTTGGTTCACGAAATTTGAACGAAATGCTTTCTTATGTCTTTCTTTTCCTTTTTTTCAATAAAATTAAGTATATACACAGATAATAATGCAATATTATGGAAGAAGGTTATATTTTAAAATTATTTTTATCTTTTTCACGGCGAATAAACTTCTAATTTTTTTTCATCTTTTACGTAGAAACATTGTAGACGTAATTTGTATTGAACTGTAGATAAACGAAACATCGTTTACAAAGTAAACTATGTGAAGCGCAAACACTCGTTATACCTATTACCCCTCAAAACGAGTTGGGACAGGCCCAAGTTTATCCAATCAGGAAATGATCTTTTTCCATATCCAGGGTATTTGCCCAACCAATTTATTTAGTTTTTATGAATAGTCCACGCCTTTCTTTCTTATCATTGGGTCGTTTGGACATTCGTGTTCCTGCGTCGTTGGCAAGGTTCTTTAACAATGGTGCTGTGAGCATGCTAACGTTCGTCATCACCCCCCCTACCTTCTTCGCGTCTAGGTTTACTCTCTAAACGAGAAGTCCCGCCCCTAACAATCTGAAATTTCGTAATCTCCCGGCCACCCATGAGTTTGGCCAATCAGCATTCACCAACTTGACGCCAGTTTGGGCGGAGGGCACATGAACCCACGGGCGCTGTCGTTGCCAAGTCTGAAATTTCACCAGAGCCTGGTATAGGCTACACAGCTGTCAGTGAGCAGCCTATCCTCAGTTGTTAAAGTTGGTTGTTTCTTGCCATTGGAAATATTATATATCTTCCGAATTTCCAGTCGATGAAAATTTATTGGTAATAAAGAAGCCGATATAAACCATTAACGGTAAGTTAAATATTTCTTAAAGTTCTTTTTTAACAAATTTTAAGTAGATGGACAGCATACAAGTAGATACACTATTTCCCCTTATATTACGAGGACAAGAGCCATCTATCCAACGATGAGAGAGTTGAGGGACCATTTCATCAAACCAGCTAGGGTCGACGCAAAAATTAAACCTGCGTGGTCTTAACTAGTACTAGTAGAACAGGCTCAGGATGTATTGGAAATAGTTCTTCTGCGCGACTACGTAAAGACACGCTAACGTCTAAGCCAAACTTTTTTATATTCATAATAACTCGTTAAGTGTATTTTTTTAAAATATATAGGGCAAGCACAGCAATAATAATATTAAGCCGGGAGTTACTTACATAATTGCAAACAAAGAAAAATAAGTGTGTGTTTCCAGAATTTTATAGGCTATATTACAGTGTTACAGTGAAGTTTTAATTTTAAAGTTTTATTACGTAAATGTTCTGAAGTGAAAACAACAAGCAAGAACTATATACATTGTACGGTCGTAAAACAATGCCAAGTTTAAGAGACTTCGGCATACATTAGATACGATGACAAACTTTTTTTCTTTCCTTTTGTGTGGTCATTATCTATTTGGGCATCTGGCCAATGATGAGCCATGGCTTTGCATATTTAAAAAAAATCATTCAATTTCTGTACTTGTATTTCAAGTTAAATCATAAGTTCCAATTAAGTAAAAAATAATAAAGTATAAAATCATGTATAGGGAAGGAAAAAGATAGCCAAAATAATGTATATTTAACGATTTTGTGTACAGACGAGCTCAATATAACAAATAGTGTCTTTAGTGTTAAACATGATAGACAACATAGAAGGGGGGGGGGACTTGTAAGTTGCAATACGTATTACATTATGCTTAATTTGGAAACTCTTTCAGTAACCAAATTGAGAAGCGTACAGTCCTGTTCGTAAAGGTCAAAGGTGAAAAGAATAAGACTTAAATGTGAAGCCCTTTGTTTTATACTCGTACTATACACGTTTCGGTATTCCCGGCTTGACACTAGTCACAGCATTTAAAAAAAAATATTTTGATTTCTGCTTATTGTAAATTTCTTGATATAGTATGAAGCAATATTTCTTCTGTTGTAGAACGTGAGTTATTAGCAACTGTTTTAAGTATAAATATTGTCCACTTTTTGCTTTCTTTCTCCACAAAGCGATTCTTTGAAGATTGTCTGTTACACTGTGTACGTCCTGGTGTAGCAGCAGAGGCTTTGTTTGGCTTGTTTCAAAGTCTGGATTGGTGGCTCATAATAACAGTTACCAATATATTTATTTCCATCTGTAGAACGCTGATAGACAAAACAAACAACTAACTAACTTTTTATATGTTCAATGTTAATTATTTCGCTGAAATCAGATTGGCAATTAAAAATTAATGTCGACGGTGTTGCAATCTTTCATCAAAAATTGCTTTTGTTTGCTTACATTGTCACAGCTAAAGAGAAACGAACTTAGGCTTTTGTATTCGTTAGTAATACTAGACTTTCAGATGTTTTTAATATGTGAGTGGTGTAAACTAATTGGAAGTACTATTATACTGAAACTCATTAATCAATAAAGCATAGAAAGTAATGCTAATTTTAATATAATCTCAATATCATTTCCTAATGATATGAGCACCCAAGTATCAAAACAATCTCATTGCTTAATTGTAATGAATAATGTATTTTCAGTCAGTCCTAAGTAACTGATGGCTTTGCATTAGTCTTCTTTTGTATAATTATTACTATTTAAAATATAATTTATATAAACATTAATAACAAATAGGTAATGAAGTTTTAATTGGATTTCAGTGAACAAAATAATAATATGAAATGTAACATAATAATTAAGTCCAGGTTATATACTATAAGTTTTCTTGTGTTTAATGACTTGAAAGTATATCATACTAATGAAGTTTGTTTTGATGGTGGTGAAAAGTCAAGAAAATAAGCACGAATAATACATTTGTATATGCACTGTAATTTTAAGGAACTAGCACTGATATCATATATGTTACTTTTCTTTTTATTAAAAACTGAGAATGGGAACAGTTTTTCAGAAATTAAAAAAAAAAAACAAGTAATGGGATGATTAGGATATTAGTTTAAAAAGAAGGACTATATAGAAAAGAAAGACTAAGACATGATTAATAAAGTTCACTTAAAAGCTGTGCAGTTAAAATTACAGATTACAAAGCTTTACCCAATTCATGCCTGGTTATTTTTGTATTAGTGTTAACTGAACAAGTGTCTTTTGTTGCACTTTGTACAAATGTAGATTTTGTATTGTTGTAACGGTTTTTTTTTTTTTTTGTTGTTGTTGTTGTTGGGTGTGTTCTTTTGATTTATTAGATAACTGATAACAAGAGAGAGATTTGTTTTTAACTACAGCTTCTACAATATAGCTTTACTAACGAATAAGCCTAAGTTCGCAGTAGACGCTAAACAGTCACCTACTTGCTAATTTTCTCGTATCTTTCGTACCTCGTTGAAACACAAGTTTAATATTCACAGCGCTAAACTAACTAACTGGTTGACTAAATTATAAATCCATCACTGTAACAGACCCATTTATCAATAAATGAACTGTTTTGGTCTTGCCTAAATCCCGTTGTATTCTCTTAAGGGCCCAGCGGTAAGCTTACGGACTTACATCGCTAAGCCCAGGGTTCGATTCCCCACGGAAAACAACTCGTGTTTTGTACCGTCCTAGCTATCATAAACTTAAGAAAATTCTAGTTGTTGAGTTATGTATACACTCTGTAACGTCAAAACTCCCTGTGGCCAACATTAACATAAAAAAAAAGCCTACGACACGACCCTCACACTTCGTTGTGATTTCCACTGAGCTGTCCTGTGACACTCACACTAAATAATGATAAATTAAAGGTAAACTTCTATAATTTAATATAAGTTAGTTTTACAATTAAGTCATTAATTAAATGTTGACACAGTATGAGTAACAAAAAAACCAATATTTTTTTTCTTTATTTCTGTACTCATTTCCTGCACATAAAATCTTGCCACCAAATACAGTTGGTGTTTTTGTCTTCGTGGATTACAGTATATAAATGTAATTACCTATTGTTCCTTTATCAATGCTTGTTCTTTTGTCACTGGAGAAGCTCTGTTCAGATACGTGGTTGAAAGAATGAAACTCACTGTTGGCTTCCTCTCTGGTGATAAACTAAAAGTAGTTCGAAAAGAACCCCGGACTCTTTAGCATGTTGACCTATATAGGCAAAGTCTTTGAAGCATATCAATTGACCATTCTCTTGTCAACGATAATGACAGATGACCTATGGCTTGGACTATCTGTATTTTTGGATTATGCTTTGTGTCACATTAGGTTAGTTGTCCTAATTATTGTTCATCCTTTTTTGTAACTGGAAGTTCAATTTCTGGTGGTGGAATTGTTGTGTAGCGTACAGAGATTTCTGTAGTTAAATGCTGCGAGACTGTTCGAAGCAATTCTAACCTTTATAACCATTCTCCAGATGAAGTGTATTTGAAATATGCACTATTTTTTTTGGCAATTATCCACACACTTTTGCTGAAAATTTATGACCACCCGCTGTTCAATAAATCCATCATCTGCTTCATCTCTCTTTAGGTAGATTTCCCCCTTTCGTTACCAGATCAGGCTGCAGAACAAGTGTCAATCAACAAGTAGCAAGGTTCCCTATTAGGGAATTCTTGACTTGTGGGCTGATTTCTTTAATAAATTCACTTTTGAACTTCATTTTGCATTTCGTTAATTTTGCTGGTATAACCCTGAAAATATTCAAGGCTTCTTAGATCACATTACTTTCTGTTTCTAATTCTTTTGTAAATCTCAATCATTCTTGCAATTCTTTTCTTAAATTCCCATCTCTTTCTTTACGATTTTCGTTTTTTTTGATAAGTTTTCGAACGGTTTCACCATTTCCCGCAAATTTTCAATCTCTCTTCGAGAACATATCGTTATTCTTGAAATTTGGCCTTTATTCTGTTTATTTTTACCAAAATAATCCCACTCCAGACACGAAGATTGTAGTAGTTACGTTTGTTGGGCGGATTCTTTTATATTGTTCATTAAAAAAGAAAAATGCAAAGTCCAGTCCACAAACTATTAATAAGAACTTTTGAGTAAAAGTAAAGAAGAGTGTATAGTGATATACCAACCACAGTATACATTCACTATATCCCTTGCCAACTAGGCATTCGAGCTCACTACAAAGGCTCTTTGGGCATGTTGGGATATCCAGACATAGTACATTAGTATTGGCTGAGACACTTTTATATTAGCATACTGCTTAACAAGCACTGTTAAAGTGTAATTTTTTATAAATGTTATGTTACACACATCAAAATTAAAATAAGATTTTTTTTTTTACTTCTTGAACTTCAAGTTATACTAGTTAGCTTTACTAATTCTAAAAAAAACCCGTGAGTGGAAGTAAAGGAGGACATGTTAAAATATGTCAACCACACTACATTTGCTTTATCCAGTGCTGACGAGGCCTTTCATCCAATACCTGGGCTCATCAAGCTGGTTGAAATACTGCAGACATAGTAGTGGTGTAGACGCTATGTATATCACGAACTGTTAGGTTGTGAATCAGATTAAACAAGTGAATTATAACCATCATCAATTTTATGTAAGTAATTTACGAATCATGTTTTTAGGGTTAGCATTTATAATACAACATTATTTTCTTTTAACACTGATTATTTATAATTTTATTTGGATTAATTTTACTATCATTCACAAGAATTGGAGAACCAGCAAGTTAGCCTTCTTGTTCCAGGAGCTGGTCATGAAACCACAGCGTTAGCTGAAAAAAAAACAAAAACACTATAGTTTTTTGTTTGTTTGTCTGTGTTTAAGCGCAAAGCTACACAGTAGACTATATACGCTGTACCTATTATGGACATCAAATCTCGAATTTTAACGTGTAAGCCCTCTCAAATTTACTGCCGAGCAACTGTGGGGGCAATCATATT